CCGCCAGGAGAGTCTGCTGTGGGCCAGCCTCGGGGAGGGGTGTTCCCCCCCCCCCCCCCCTTTTGGATGAGCGAGACCAAGTGAAGTTGGCAATGTTTGCTGACGACGTCAAGGTTCCATGGGCAACCGCCTACTCAGCCTGGTACCACCAATACATCGCCTTCCCCTTGCAGGCCCTCACTGCGGCCATCCTGCTGCAGGAGTACACCATCACCGACCGCGGGACTATCCTGTCGCTGGATGCCAGACTTCGCAACGAAACAGTCATTTACAAAGCCGGCACCGATGGCGCCGACGACCCCCTGTTGAATCCTGCACACTTGTTGATCGGCACCAAGGCGTCGAACCCAGACATGGCCCAGGCTTTTGCCAGGTGGCTGGTCAGCAGCAAGGGACAGAGCGTCGTCAGAAACTTTCAGAAGGGCGGCCAGACGCTGTACAGCGTTGCGCCCTCGTCCAATTCGACTGCCTAGCTTTCTGCTAGCATGCTGGGCATGGGGGGTTTGATGTAAGAGCCTCCGGTAATACAGGATTCTCAGAGTCCCTAGGCTCTAGAAATGTGTACCGTGTTAATGATCGCATATCTATCATAGATATATATAAACAGGTACACATAATGTTAATAGAACACACGTCTTAGTGTAACCCGACGCGCCGTATGATTTTCCCTTCAGCCCACGTCTTGCTCAGTCATCCCCAGGAAATACACTGCATATACACTCTTGACAATAAAACAAGTAGTGGTTGATGACGAGCGTCAAGTTCCAAGTGTTTCTCATTAAGACACCAAATTTGCGGCACAAGCCACTCTAGCAAGGTGGATATAGGCGCGCGCTAGTGACGCCTGGATAAGTATGAATGTTAAATGCCAGCCAAGTTGCTCCTCGCTAAATCCATTCCATAATCATGGTACAAAAGGAAACGTTGCGCTAAAAACAGTTGGGTGCCGTGTTCACAGCACAATCTCATGCCCAGGCTTTAGGTCCCATTCCTTTGATCGACCAGCTCCTTTCTTCTCAGCCACGTGCTCCAGGGTATTTTTCACTTCGGCGCGGGAGACGCTGTTGCGAAACTGATGGAATATGAAGTCAATAATTCCAACCTTTGATAATGCCTTGTTATCCAGTATGGCTCTTTTGAAATCATTGAGTAGCTCTGCCTTCACTAGTTTCGTGGGAGCCGCTACGTTTGCGGTGCCGCCATCAAGCGCGGCGAAAGCATTTGTTGGCGCAGGGGGTGGTGGCATCTTCGCGGTGCTTTCAGGTGCTGACAGTGAAACCTTGGCTGGCTGTGCTTTTACCTCTGGTTCCCAATATTGGGATGAGAAAGGATCGATGCCCCACGTTTGTTCCAGTCCTTCTGTTCGCTCGCTGTCAGTATTGGACATCAAGCTAGGATAATAAAAGCAGCCCTTACCATGAATGAATTCCATCTTGTGTTCATATACTGTTGGGTTGGGGCTAAGGCGATGGTAATTCTCGTAACAAACGCCCGTACATTCGGGCTCCATCGTGTTTCCAAATACACGCCTGGAGAGTCCGGCATCATCGGCATCATCCAGAAACCCATCCATATCATCATCATCATCAAGCTCTTCTTCATCGTCGTCCATGTCAATGTCTTCGCCCTCTTCCTCTTGCCATTCAGCTTCTGAATCATAGTCATAGTCTAGTGGCAGTCGTCGCCTTGTAGGCTTGCGAGCAAGTTTAGTCATTGCATCCCGCCCCAAGGCATAAGACTTCAATGTAATTGTACCATAGTAAGGAGGTCGGACATCGTGGGAAAATGCAATCACTTTTTGAGGAATGCTGGCCAGCTTCTGCCGAGCCTCCTGAAATATGCTGGTTGCACCAGCAGCGCCAACAATGTTCGAGTCATCAGCCTCCCTATAAGCTGTCTCCATTATGTGCTTAACAGGATGATGAATGCGACCGCGTCTAGGAGGTCTTGCCGGGAGACGCAGTGCCTCTACAGGGTCAAATCGTGGGAGCTCTTGGTTGTCCGTGTCCCGTTGGCTGGCAACAAACTTGTCGAGGATTCGAGACTTGGCCTCTCTAGTTTCCTCATCCATCTGTGTTGCTGAAGGGGCTAGGCGAGTATTTTCCCGCACAAAAAAGGGCTTGAACAGTCTTTCATACTCCGTCTCCATTTGCTTGGCAGGCGCATCACTACCCGTGGCCTTGGTAGGGCTTCCGACAGCAGAGTTGCTGCCGTTGGCAGACTTCTTTGGCGTATTAGGAATCTTGAAAAACGCATTAAGTTTTGGCTGACTCCGTGCCTTTCTGTCCTTTTCTTCCTGGATGCGGCGTTGTTCTTCCTCCTTCTTCCGTTTCCTTTCGTCCCGTTGCTCAGCTTTGAGGCGATCCTCCTCTTCCCTTTGTTTGCGTTTCTCCTCCCGTTCTTTGGCGCGGACAGCTTTTTCTTCTTCTTGCTTAGCCTTTTCGGCGGCTCTCTTGGCGGCTTGTTCCTCACGCTCCTTTTTCTTCTCAGCCTGTTCCTTGTCTTTGGCGACTTTTTCCTCAGCCGTGAGACGTTTCCGCTTTGATGCCGCACCTTTGCTAGAAGCCACCATCGTGTCTAGATTTTTTCGATCATCAGAGTTGTCGTCGAGGGTTGTCTCTGTTGGTGTAATGGGAGATGGAGAGTTACGGGCGGGAGTGCTGCTTCCATCCTCGGTAAGTGGCGATGACCTTTCTGGTGAAGAATGAAGTTCTGTTCGCGCCCGAGGGAGGAGCACTAGGCGAAGTTAGTCACGTTGTGCACGGGGGAGCTGTTACAGATGGTACAGGTGCTCACAGCTGTCTCCAGATGGCCTGATAGAAGTAGACTGTGGTGTCTTCGTGTGCCCCTCGTCGTCAACCTTCATCATGTCAGCAGCGAATTCACCGTGGCACCTCTTTCGCCCGCCGGCTTTCGTCTCCTGTACATTGGGTGACATTTCGAATAACGGCATCGAAATGATATCGCGCAAATAGCAGCAGTAGCTAGTTTGTCAATGGTCCTATCCACTAGACAAGAGGTCAGAAGGATCATTCGATGCGAGACGGATATGTCTGCTTGGAATTCGAGTCGGTGGCGGACGAGAAAACAGACAAGGGACCGCAAAAAGCCAAGTCAGTCCTAGAACAAGTGCCGGACAATGATTTTAAAAAATGTTCACATATAAACAGATCACGCTTCAGTCTGTATTGAAGAATAAAGAAATCAGCGGTATCAATTTATGTGGAAAGAGCACATCGAGTTAGTGTGGTTGGTTGGGAAGTCAGGAGCTTTGAACGCGCTCCGCGTGAATTTGGCGCTGCCATGACACTTAGTTGCTCCCGCACTCACCCCGGGACGCGTCAAGACACCCCGGTCCGGAGCACTCCGTACTTTGTCGTCCTCACGTGTTGCCCCCGACGGCCCAAGGGTCGTGGCCAGATTTGTGGCTGGTGCCCGAGCTGCTTTCACTTATCCACTAGCCACAATTACAGCCCCACACTAAGTCGCTCACGGATAAGTAGAGGCTTGGCCGCCGTCACAAAAATTGATGAAGGGGCAATGATGCAATTGGGTTCCAGTCTTATCAAGGTTTGGACCCTCACACGAGAGAGGAATGGCATCACCGAGACAAAAGTCCAATTGGATTAGCACACAATTGGACTTGACGAGAAAAAAACTCAACAAGACTCCTCCCGAAGCCGATTGTGAACCCAGTAGCCTGGACTAATCAATTGGAAGGCTGAGAGGCAGTTGGAGGGCTTGCGATAACGTCTTGCCCACCCTACCAACTGGCAATGACTGCGTCACCAGGATTTACATAGAATTGAGCAAGACTGAAAACATCCCAGTCATTCATAGTATGATGGCCCTACAGCAACCATTTTTCTCCCATTACTGATATATATATATATATTTATATATACACGTCCCGGCCATTGACAACACTAGTCTGTCATTTCATTAAACACACGCTTTTGTCTCGCCATGCGCAGAGAGGGAAAACAAAACGAATCACGGAATCCCTTAGCCAGCCCAGCACAACGATAATCAAGGGACATCAGTGAAAGTAGTAAAACATGACAGAGAACAAAGGAATTGAAAGGTATCGAAAGCCTGCGAAACCTTTAACAGTAGCGAGTGATTATGATCAATGTCCCCAAACGCCTGAAATGCAACCGGGGATGACGCAAAACGACTGAGATATGCATTGGGCTGAGCAAAGCGAGTGGCCAGGAAATCCATAGGTTAGGAAATATCCACACTGTAATGAAAATTACTTCCTGAGCATTCCAATAAAGTGTTACTGTTTTGAGTACTGCTGCCAAGCGGGACATATGCCGATATGCTATATTCACACGTTGTGGTCGATTAATCAGGGTTGGCAATGAAAAGGCGGCCGGATGTGAGTGTTGCGGTCCGCTCGTCGACGCTGCCTCGTCGCTTAAGCTCGTCAGCGCTCTTGACGCTCTTCTCTCTGGCAAGAACCGAGAGCCTCTGGGAATTGATTGCCAATTTAGGATTGCTACCCAATTCACCAACGTTGTCGGCTCGTTCGCCGCTGCTGGCACTCCGTGAGCTTTGCGACCGTCCTGACGCCGAGTCATCGATAGTCCGTTCCGGTCGCTCAATCAGACTACCAGTCCGCTCCGGAGTGCCACCGGGGCTTCGTCGTTGGCCTCCAATCGTAACGGAGCTGCCAGAGGCTCGATATTGCAGACCTCGCCGACCGCTCCCGATGCTGCTTCGGCCACTGCTTCCTGTTCGGCGGTGGTGTGCGCGAGATGCTGCCCGAGTATCATCGTCATCACTACTTTCTCCTTCCACTTCTGTGGCACTAAGTCTCAGAGGCACGCCACCAACACCGACGTGGTTCGTATCGCCTGGAGCATACCCAACAACAGGTGTCTTGCCATGATGCCTGATCTTGGCAGCAACTTTGCCAGTCGCGCTGATTCCCGTGTTGGTTCGGCTGGCAGTGACAGTACCTCGCCCGCCGCCAACCACTTCAAGGTTTGCGCGCATCTTGGCTGCCTTTTGTTGAGCTGCCACTCGAGGGTCTTCATACTGAGCCCGATCGCACCAGACTGTCGCCTTTTGCCGGCGCAGAAGAGCAACATAGCTGGACGGCGGCGCGGTTGTTCCACCAGAGCGGCTGGAGATGGAACGGCGGAGGTCTGTCGATGAGGAAGTCCGATATGCAGCGGGCGGTTGCATACTGGATGTTGTGCTAAATGTGTTGACAGACGGGGACCGACGCGTGTTCTGCACATGTGGAGGCATTGCCTGCGGATATTGAGAAGCGGGCTGTTGCTGTGGTGGCTGCTGCTGGATGGGAAATATGTTGGAGGAGGTCGTTCGTGACCGCGAGTGGCCGTAAGCGTTGGTTTGATCCATCGGTCTGGATATCGCATGCGGTTCTAGCATGGTGGTCGACAAGTTGCTGCGGCGGGATGGGCCACGCCGAGTCCAGTGGAAGTCGAGTTGTCTCTTTGTTATGCGATGGACCGAGGAGAACCTTCCCTGCGAGTCTGCAGAAGCAAGAATGGGATGGAAGAACCCAGAAGATTGTTTGTGTCAAGCGACGAAAAAAGGCACGGCGAGGAGCGACAGTGTCTCAGTCCTATCAGCCTGAAACTACCGAGCGACTGCCTCGAGGCAGGAGAACAGCGTACAGTCGGTAGACGAAGACGCAAGAGATAATGTTCAGAGTGAACGCCCCGTGCACAAAGCGAGCGCACAGTACAAATGGTGGTGAAGCTTGGTGCAGGCGGGAAAGAGAGGTCCCGGCCGAGGAATGAGGCGCCCACGCAGAAAGGAAGATGAAAACTCGAAAGCTAATTAGCGTGCTTTACGAGAAGGCGGCGGTGGAGTCATCAATCATGGCTGTGTGTACTCAATGCTGTGGTTTTGGTTTTGCGTCAACAGGTCTCAGTGCTGGCTGGCAGACTCGACCTCGTCAACAACTGCTCTCTGCATGGGAGGCCCGAGACTTTGACCAGGTTGAGTGGATGGGCGGCCAATTGGTCCGACGTAGCCATGCGGCCATGCGCGGAAGAGATGGTCCTGGGCGCGGCTGGGCTAAAAGGCAGGGCCCAAGGCGAACTGAGGTCAACTGGTGAGATTACATGGGAGGCATCGGGGGTGGATTGATGGCCAGTGACGGCCAGTGAGATAGGACATGGCGGCCACGCTTAGGCCGGGGAGAAGCAGTCGATGGGACCGAGCCAGCCAGCTGGTGGGACAGCCGGTTGGCCGGTTGGCGGTTGGCGGTTGAATGCTGGCGCCGACATCTGGGACTCTGGCGTCAACCTTGGCCCAACGCAGCTCAACTGCTGCAATGTGGACACAGTCCACTGGACGCTGGGGCTGCCGTCGGGGCCTGCATTGGGCTGGCAGCATTTGGGGGGGGCCATCAATGGCACTGGCGCGAGAGTTGTGGGATTCCCGCTGCTCCAGACACTATCGTTCATATCATGACCGCAGCTGGGCCGTTTGGGCTGACAGGCTCACGAGCCGTCTTGGATGTTGCCGCCGGCGAGCTTTGGACTGCAGTGACAGCACATGTTCCCAAGTACAGTGGGTTCGCTGTACTGGCCCATAGCACCAGGCACACCTTCCACCTGCAACATGGAGATGCCGACAGCTCCCTGCTGCACAACTCGCGACTCACAGCATGCATCCAAAGCCACTCTGGTGCGCGGCTGCGATGTCCTACTGCATCCGACTCCGGGCTCTAAGTACCTAGGTACCTATCTAGAGGTACGTACAGAGACTTATTGCTGGGCACTCGCCATTTCTGCTCCGTACTGACCCTCCTTTTGCAGCCAGGCTGCTCCCCTCCCCAGCTGAACGGTCCGACCATGTGTGGCGGGCGGGGACTGTTCAGGCCTAACGCCGGTATGAGGCGGAACCACGCCAATCAATTGCTTATTATCAATCGCGATAATGGGCGGCAGGGACATGGTAGTTACTACTAATACAATCACGATGCTCCCAACGTGGGCTCGCTCCAATCCCCCGGCACGAAAATTTACTAGCGCTAGCCCAGGGCCTGCAGGTGCTCCAGATGGCATCATAGCCATGTGCGGAAGAGGTCTGGTTCGAACTTGGAACACACACACACACTTGACATTTGTTCTTGTCCTTGACTCGCAGCGTCATCGGCAGATATTTACATTTGCACTCACTCGCACTTCAATCCACCGCTCTCAAACATCAAGCTAGTGCCCCGTTGATGACAAAGCATAGGTTGTATGACCCGTAGTCCATAACCGTCTTCCTAGCAATTAGTTGACTGGACATTCCATCAGTGTGCCTCGACCAAGGCAACATTGAATGGTGCAAAGATCGCATACTGGTCAAGAATAGGAAGCTACGATATCCATCAAAGCGACGCCGTGGCCCTACTATAAGCAATCTTAGACAATACATCACAACCAGATGACGATTCCTCGCTTCAAATAAGGCTTTCTCTGGCAAACATCAATAAAGTGTGTTCAATCTATCAGAGTTGCTCTCCACTAGCGCTGGTAGACAACCTACGACGGCACTGGCGCCGCCATAGGGCGTCCAGCATGGCGATAGCCCATGTACATATTATTGACCGGCATCCTTCAAATCTCGGGGCGGCCGGAAGCCGAGTCGCACTTGGTTTGGTTTGATTTGGTTCCTTCAGCAAGAAGGTCATTCGAATCACCTCTCACTTCAATTGATACATCTACCAGGAACGACGCTTGTGTCACACACTCACTTATAATATGCAAGAAAGAGTACACCAAATCGGTGGGTCTAGGCATCGTTCCGCCAAAGAGAGTGCAAAAGGTCTCTACGAGTACCGAATCTCACCGTCTTCGCCGTCCCTCTAGGAAAGATCCGGCTATGCGACGTTTTTGCTTAGTCCGCTTTGCATATCATCCGATACAGGCAACACTTTCTCCACGAAACCTGCCTTGAACCATTGTGTGGTGATGTTGTTGTTGATTATCGGAACACGTCTGGCATTGTCAAGAGACAGAGATTTGCCGGCCGACAGTGTGGTGGTTCAGTCAAACGACTGTTATTGCTTGTTTATATGGGGTCATTGCGAGAGCTGAGAGACGAGATATGCTTTCTGATAACCGCAAGATGTGGTTCTTGACGTAGGCTCGTCAAAGGCGATTTGACAGAAGCGTTGAGTTCTTGCGGAGAGTACTGCTGCTCATTTTAGCATTGTTCAAATTCCGACGATTATGACGGAAGCAGAGCATAATCCCAACCCCGACTGTTACGACGTCATCCAACTCAGCATGTGTAGCAAACTGCCGAACCAGAATAGCGGCTCTTGTAGTGAGAAACGCCGGTAATTGGCTGTGAGTGGTGAAAGCTATAGCCCAGCTTTTGGTAATGAGAAACACCAAAGTGGAACCAACCCTCTCTAGAACCTTGTCGGGCGTAAAGGAAAACAATCCCCGCTTATCAAGCTGTCATTACTACAAGGCGTACAAGGGACAGGACAACAAAATGAACTGATGTCCACCGAGTTGCCTCACTCAGGCAATATTGGACAAGGATTAGCTCCCCAATACAGAAACAAACAGGGTGTTGCCTGCCACGGCGCTTACGGAATCTCTCTTTGCATTTGCAAAGTATCAATTGATCCTTCCGGTCGACATCTCACCTCGTCAGGTCTAAATGGTGGGAGAACATTCAGAGTTGGCGGTTCGCGCCAAAACTCTTCCACATTGATGTCAGGAATGACGGTATCCAGAGTTCCCGAAAAGCATAATGTCCTACCCCCACGGCTCGCCCCCATATATTAAACATTTCAACGTCCGACCTGAGAACCATTTGTCGCGGGCCAAGCCAACTCCAAGACACAAATTGTGAGGGATCTGTCTATCAGCAGTGAACCTGCCCTCAAGCGCTCTGCAATCAGCCAGAGGGCTTTCCTCCCCATCATGCAAATAGCGGTCCAACCAGCAGCTTACGGGGATAATGCGGTACAGTTCCAACTTCGGTTGCCGAAAAAGTCGAAGCACATCCTTGTCATGTGGTCGCTTATCTCTTTTAGCGATATACATGATACAACTGTACAAGAGCCAGACACCGGCATGAAGGCGGATGGCGGCCGACAGGCAGGAACAAGCAAGGTCGTATGTTCGATAGTCGACTTGCCCATGTCCACCGGAAGTAACCATTACGATGTCACTGATGTGTTTTTCACCTGGCTGTACCACGGCGCAATCAGGATCAATTTCCAGTGTTGACACTCTTTGCTCTTGTGCTACGCGGGGTGTGTAGCCTCATATCGCACGGCACTGCACATTATCCCTGTCATGCTGATCTGCCATGTCATGTCCTGCAACGAGCGCTGTAAGATGTGCAAGGGTGCTCCGTAGTCAACCTCTGTCAGAATGGCAGGTTTCCCTCGCATAGGCGAACTGGAAGTGTACACAGAAAATCAGGCCGCATGTAAGACACAACACTGTGGTCGGCCCCCCTCCCGTTGATATGGATGTGAAGAGTAATAAAGGCCTGTAGTATGTACTTTGTATTCATCCTTGGAATACTGAACTGACGTAGTCTCCAGCCCTTGGAGAAGTTGACCCGACATGCTATGATGGGTTGCGTGTCCTCGGGGGTTGTTTGCTATTCTTGTATAGGCCACCTTAGCCTTCATGGAACTTGCATTTTGGGCTAAAAACATGTCGCTTTCATTTACGGAAACGAGGTCTGAGGAGAATTGTCAGTATTCTTTTTTTAACCGCGTCGCTTACATTATTGCCGTCCAATGTTGCTCTTGAGTTCGTGCCTCTCTTTCCCTGGTTGTCAACAACAACAACTATTAAAAAAAAACATAATGAAAATAGAAATAAAAATAAAAAATCGCATCTGGATTGGGCTGCTTCCCGAAGCATTGGGTCCCGTTCTGCGGTAGTGAGAGCTGGTATTTGATTGGGTTGCAAGAGCTTGTTGACGATTTTGTAGCGGCCCGTGTTTATGGCCCAGCAGAGTATCGGATCGACGTTGCCAGCATTGCGAAGCATATTGGATATGGAGTATTTCCTTGTCCTCCCATCCACATGAGTGGTGCGCGATGTGCTAGTTCGTCTGGTATCGACTTCTACGCCTTGCGCTCGGAGGAGCAACTGGGCCAATTCCGTGGCCGTGTCGCGCGGCACACAGCAAACAGCGTGCCGTTGATTTTCGCCCCCTCTGCATTCAATATCCATATCTGAGAGTGTCGGTACGGCATTGGCATCTCACTTTCTGGCAGCAATGTTAAGAGGAGCTGCACATCTGGTCGACATCCAGGACGTCTTACACAAGGAGTACTTCAGTGTAGAAGTCAATAGCAGCCTATGTGTGAGAAGAAACTTTCCTACTATTTCTAAAGTTCAAGTTAGACGCTACCTTGGCGATTTAGAGCTTTAAAATTAGTGGGTGTTTAGACGCGCAGGCTTAAAGAGGCGATGAGTTGCCCATGACGTCTGGTTAGCTGACAATGACTTTGACTGCTGCCGGCGAGGTTTCGACTGTCTTGGGGTAGTCAGACTCGGGTCTTTATCACAAGAGCAGATAAGATGCTGGGTGATGTGGACCTGACCGTTGATGGTGGTAAGGCACAGAGGTGTGAGGATGGATACATTGTCCGTGGCATCTTAATCGGCCGTTGCACCCCAACAAGAATCTTGGGAACTCTTAAATATCCTCTACCTACTACATATGGACTACCGTCGGGCTCACATCATTTCGGCAGTGGACGTCGGCACCAGCTGCGATGCGTTGATAGAGGTTTGTGGAGAGCCTGCAATCATTATGTGCCACCGCGCAAGACTTGATGCATGAACCAAGGCTGATGGCTGGATTTCCAGATGCCCTAGTCTCTGGGCAGGGTTGAAGTCAAATTTTGCGGCGTTGGCATCAACAGATCAGGCAGTTTGTCAGTTATGTGCCGCCGTGTCAGGGCAGTACAGTCGCCGACTTTGATTGTTGATAAATGGAAAGAGATACGCCATCAACGACTAGGCTGCGCCCTTCCAACCAAGTACATGCTCTTGGTGACTAGTTTCAACGATGTCCCGGTAAAACTTGGGTTCAGTTAGCTGCTTCGATTGATAATTCCAAAAAAAAAGAAAGAAAAAAAAAGTTTTTCATCCGCATGTAGGGTAATGTCTGAAACATGGCTCTGCAGTCTACGGTTGACTGACCAGAGTCCGAAATATTGAGACGAACCCGCAGGACAAGTCTCACAAGTCTCACAAGTCTCACCCCAATCAGCTTCTAGTCTTTTTCAATGCCGGTGGTTTCTCTCGTTAGTCTATTCGGAGTACAATTTTCACCTCACCCTATTGAGCTGGGCCCCAGCTGCCGGTAATGTAGACACTTGTTAGGCTGAGAGGTCGACTTTCAATATCATGACGTACATCGGGCATCAAAAAAAATGAGCAACTTGGTAAAAAGTGTCAGACAGGGTCATGAAGACGGAACTTGCACGGTACACGATGAGAAATTGATAACACTAGGCGACCATGCCTTTAAAGATGACAGGGAAAGAATGAGATATATTGATTGCTTGGTGGCCAAGCCGGCCTAGCCTTGAGCAAAGATGGTGGACGTGCACCTGATGAACATAGTACTAGCACTATGATAAAGCCTTGATCGGGTTTGCAATAATTAGGCCTCTGAAATTACTAGTTGAAAATTATGAAAATGAGCGCTGTTAGTTGGTGCTGATGGCATGGTGGTGGATTTTTAACGATCTCCCAGGTATTATTAGCTAGGGGAACGGAAAAGGGAAAAAAAAAAAAAAAAAAAGGAGGTGGTTATGCCCGGAATAATAATACGTCACTAAACGGGTCTCCAATGCTTCGGATGTTGCTACGTGCGGCACGGCTCCAATTGGCCCGTCCAACATGGTGAGAAAGGCTGGTAAAACTTGATAGTAGTGCCTCACGCGACCCATCTCTCGCCACACGATCTCTCCATATGTATTAGCATGCCGAGCGGTGTGGCAGGCCAAAAACAAGGCGAGCACCACGTTGGGACGGTTAGAGCGGGTGGGAAACGGGCCAGGCAACGAGTGGCTGATGATGAGGCAAAAGAAGGGCATCGCGACGCATCATGGATTATTATATATGCGACGGAGGCGACTGGCGGACGGTGCTCGAGGTGAGGACCAAATCCCTGAATGCCAAGGGTAATTTGGACCAGTTGACATAGTAGAACTTATCGTAGACGGCTGTCATTACATGTATGCCCAATCCCCGACGACTGGCCCGTATTTACTACCGACGTTCAACATGATGAATCTGCTCGATGCGCAGCGGCTTGAGCCACATTTGGCTCATGGATCGGTGGCGGCGCACATCCAAGACAACCCCCCCACCCCCCGATTATATCCACCTGCAACCACCAGCATGACCATTTTAGCCACTCAGGTGCAATCTGATTAGCCACTTGAGCTTTTCAACAGAGACTCCAGGTCCAAATTGGTGGGTCGATGTCTGAGATGGTCAGGGCACGTTGTGCAAATATCGCCTCTGAGAGGTCTTGTTCCACCTTGTTCCATTTGCTCTTCAACATTGACATGCCAGTCCGTGGCCAAATTTCGATTACCATTCACAACTTCACCAACTTCACACGTCTTGCCAGCGTGTTCACTTGTCGCTCGCTCAGATATCTACCGAGGAAGGAGTACAATAGCGCCATTCTCCATCCCGTAATTCCCCAAGATTTGGCCACTTCGGTCCTGATTCTTCAACTTGAGCTCTCGCACATGCACCTGCATCAGTTGAAGGCTGCGCTGCAGCTGAACCGCCGGCCATGAAGTTTGCCAAGGAGCTCGAGAGAGATGCTGTCCCAGGTAAGACTTCCTCCTCTGCCAAGACTGAAATCTTCTTTTACATTGCTTGCACGCGTGCCTTGGTTTTGCGAGGAGACGCTGTGTCTGCCGTGTCATCAATTGATGCTGGCAAAATTTGGGACATTGTCTGTATAGAAGAACGAAGCTGTTGTCGCTGACTTTCTCCTCCCTTTTCCCCTTGTTCTCTTTTCTAGAATGGCGCATCAAGTACCTCAACTATAAGGCTGGCAAGAAGTACGTTAAAGCCGTCTCACGAGCACTCAATAGAACACCGAGGGCATCTGCAAACCGTACTCAGTCCTTGTTTCGATCGAGCAACCATGGCCGAACATCAATCTTGCCCACCTCAACGTCTGGCCCAGCTCCCCGGGCTTCAAATCGAAGCAATGGATCTGCTACTCCTGGATCAAATCCCATCCCAATTGCTGCCCAAGCAGACGAGGACGAAGCATTGAGAGGCGACGGCAACGACCTGCACTATGGGAGCTTTGTGCCGACGCCGCCAAATCATAGCCCATTGAGGCAAAGCGAGGACAAGGTCAGTCATGACTTTGCATTGCCGGCACCCGCCATCAGTGCCTCCGACGCCTCGGGACTTTTGAGACCGACCACAACGATGAAGAGTCGCAGCACAGTTCCCACACAACGACGGGCTTCAACGGCCGATTCTGTGACTCCTAGGAATGACACAGTCGAACAGTCTCCTGCGGCACGACGACGGTCAATAACTGGAGGTGCCTTGGCAGAGTCGCCATCACAATTACGGCGAATTCTTTCAAATGCATATGGCCCAATGAAACGAGATATGCCGTGGATGGATGGTGGGATCAATGAATTTGACCTGGTGCGAGAGAGGGAAAGAGAATTCTATGCATTTTTAGACTCGGAACTGGAAAAAGTCGAGTCCTTTTACAAGCTCAAGGAGGACCAAGCTGGGCAACGACTCGCTCTGTTACGAGAACAGCTTCATGAAATGCGAAACCGACGCATTCGCGAAATAGCCTCGAATCATGACAATGACCCTGACAATGGCCACTACACCGACGCCGAGAACTCCAAGGACAACCTCAATGGATGGGTTCAACCGCTCAAGGCTAAGATCTTCCCGCCGGGACCCAACACCAAGGCGCTTCGGAACATGCCCAACACACCATACCTTCCAGCAAGCGCATCAGCCGGTGATGCAACGAGAGACTATAGCAGGCGACGGCAAAAGGAGGACGTGTCGTATCGAACGGCCAAGCGCAAGTTGAAATTGGCTTTGCAGGAATTCTACCGTGGGCTGGAACTTCTCAAGTCGTATGCACTTCTGAATCGGACTGCGTTTCACAAGCTCAACAAGAAGTTTGACAAGGCTGTTAATGCCCGGCCGGCGTTGCGCTACATGAATGAAAAGGTCAACACGGCCTGGTTTGTGAATAGTGACACTCTTGATGGGCACATCAAGGCAGTGGAAGATCTGTACGCCCGGTACTTTGAACGTGGCAATCACAAACTTGCGGCCGGCAAGCTCAGAAGTCTTTCGAAGCGCTCAAGAAGTGAATCCGGAAGTTCATTTATCAACGGATTTCTCATTGGTTGCGGCCTTATTTTCACTGTCGAGGGCTTGGTATCCGGCTCACAGCTGCTTTTCGACAGCGATGCCGACCTTCGAATCCAAACCAGCTACCTACTGCAGTTATACGCGGGATACTTCCTCATGCTCTTCATGTTCTCCTTCTTTTGCATCAATTGTTTTATATGGACCAAAAACAAGATCAACTACCGGTTTATTTTCGAGTTTGACCAGCGAAGCGTGCTTGATTGGCGGCGACTTGCAGAGTTCCCGAGCTTCTTTTTACTACTATTCGGTATTTTTATGTGGATGAACTTTAGCCGATACGGTCCGGATTGGCTCTATACTTACTATCCTGTGTTTTTGATTTCCATCACCGCCGCCATTATACTCTTCCCTGGACCGACGCTGTCTCACAAGAGCCGCTCATGGTTTGTCTATGCTCATGTAAGTTGCGCAGCATCCAGAGCGATGGAATACCAAGCTGACTCGTGGCAGTGGCGGCTTTTGCTAGCTGGCTTTTACCCCGTCGAATTCCGGGATTTCTTTCTCGGAGACATGTATTGTTCACTGACATACTCTATGGCCGTACGCACCCCCGCTGCTATCTTGGTAATAATTTCGCTAACAAGCGCAGAATATCGAACTATTCTTCTGTCTATACGCCAACAAATGGGACAACCCACCGCAATGTAACTCGAATCATTCCCGGCTCTTAGGCTTCTTCATGGCGCTGCCGCCCATCTGGCGCTTGTTCCAATGTATCCGCAGATACAAGGACACTTGCAATGTGTTTCCCCATCTTGTCAACGGCGGCAAGTACATAATGACCATTATATCTACCGTGATGCTCTCCCTGTACCGTATCAACGGCACCCGCTCCAACCTAGCCCTCTACGTAGCATTTTCCACCATTAACGGTATATACGTCTGTAAGTAACAATCTTGCCC